CCATTTCCTGTCTCAGTGCATTGTGGTCTTGTTCTAATTACAGAGCTCTGAGGCATCCCGTTACCGTGACGACTGCAACACACAATCACACACAAGAGAGCTGCTGAATAGACAAATTGTCTTCCACACATGCTTGACGTATGCTGTCATTGTGTGTGTGTTTTGTCTGAGTTGATGATGTTTATGTGTTTGTTGGTGTTTCTGTCTGCAGTGGTTCATGTGAGCGCTCACCTCGTGAACATGGTCAGTTTCTCTGTGAGATATTCAGAGGATTTCCCTGCGCTCAATGTCGCTCAGTATCGAGGACAGGTAACACACACAGACATTAACATGAACATCTTCTGTGTTTGGAAAAATTTAAATGTTTTTGGAAGGGCGTAGGTTTGATTTTGGCATTGATGGGGACATAACAGCAGACAACAGATATCTCATTGTTTGATCAAAATTATTGCTAAGGACAATTTAGTAGATGCTGGATATTGGTAGGGACATGTCAGCGTCCTTACTAAATTCTACGCCCTTGTGTTTCTGAAAGAAGTCTCTTCTGCTCAACAAGGCTGCATTTATTTGATCAAAATACATCCATTCTTCATTACTCCAGTCTTCAGTGTCACATGATCCTTCAGAAATCATTCTAATATGCTGTTTTGCTGCTCAAGAAACATTTCTGATTTTTATCAATGTTAAAAACAGTTGTGCTGTGTAATATTTATAACTGTGGTAATAATATGTTTTTCTCTCTTTAGGATCCCAGAATTCTCATCATAAGCACAGGTGACTCACCTGTCTAAATCTCCCTTCTGTACTTCCACATCAGCGTTTTGTGTTTAATATAGTGAAACCGAAATTATGACGTGTAATGTAGGATGATTAATTGAAAAGCCTGTGGACACATTCTTCTAACTGTCAAATTTGTTTCTTTTTATTTTGTGTTTAAAGGGGTCATATGATGTTGCTAAAAAGAACATTATTTTGTGTATTTGGTGTAATGAAATGTTTATGCAGTTTAAGGTTCAAAAAACACATTATTTTCCACATACTGTGCATTACTGTTTCTCCTCTATGCCCCGCCTTTCTGAAACGCGTCGATTTTTACAAAGCTCATCGGTCTGAAAAGCGAGGTGTGCTCTGATTGGCCAGCTATCCAGTGCGTTGTGATTGGCCGAATACCTCAAGCGTGTGACGGAAATGTTAGTCCCCTTTCCATATTGTGATGCCCTGTCCGGCCGGAGCGACGAGACAAAACCATTAAAACCCATCATAAACGAGGCATTTGTTGCATCCAATGGGGACATAATTACGGATTATAATGACTTACACTGTC